CATTAAAACTATTAAAGAGATTTATCCACAAAATGTGATGCAAGTTATAACCGATAATGCATCGGTTTGTAAGTCCTCAGAGGGCATCATGGAGACAAGATACCCTTATATTGTTTGGACTATTTGTATAGTTCATACGCTAAATCTTACGCTTAAAAATATTTGTGCGGCAAAGGATACCGAAAGAAATGGAATAGTATGTCATAAAGGCAATTGGATTAATAAAATTACCAGAGATGGGGTGGTGATAAAAAAATTTATAGTGAACTCCATGAGATTGGCAATATTCAATAATCATGTGAGATTGAGGATGTTTGTTAATGTTGAAACTTGTTTTGCTTCGATAGTTATTATATTACAATGATTGATAGAAATAAAGTATGGTTTTATTAGGTTGGTCCTTTAAAATTTCAAATTCATCTCCACCTATATCCCACATCTTTATTTCTCCTCTAGAATATTCGGGGCATATTGAGAGAAGGCGAAGATCTGTATGAACATATGACAAAATCTTTCGCTTATTTTGGAGTCATTTTATTCGTTGTTATGGAATGGATAAATTCATAAGTACTTCAATTTCTCTCACTACAAAATGAAGGACATGGATGCTCAAACAATTTTAGTGTCAATTTTTACATTGTTGGAGTAGAAGCCTCATGAATAATTCACCATGATTTTGGATATATCAGCCCCCTATCATACAAAAAGTGATGATCCAAAAATGCAACCACTCTCATGAAAATTTTAGTAAATTCTATGTTAGCTATCTGCCGCTCCTTTGAATTAGAAAAATGTCTCTTCAAACATTATGATCTTTCATTGGAGATTTCAGAATTCTTATGTGGTGCAACTCAATTTGGATCTTCAGTGAGCCATTCTGCACTATAATTCGTAGAAAATATAAAAACTCACTTGAATGTGCCAAATATAAACTCTAAAATAATGTAACATTAAAATTAAAGGTTGAATGAATAACTTAAAACTCACTTTGCGTTTAGTGAGCGAGCGAAATAATGTAATGATGTTTTGCTCTTATTCCACCAATCAACTAGAATGGAATGCACAATATTACAAAATGATGATTCTTCATCCTCTAGTTCACCTTCTTTTCTCCAAATTAAGCTCTTCGCCTTCTCAATCATTGAATCTCACATGTCATAAACTAAGTAGATGTTAGGTTTGTCGGTGTTGATGGATTGAAGCATATGATATATATGCTTCGTAAAAGAGATAATGTACTCTATCTTATCTCACCAAACATCATACAAAATCTTTTGCTTCTCAAATTGCAACTTTCCAACATCATCTTTATATAATTCTAACTCTCACTAACCATCAACTCGATAAGTCCACACTTTATTTCTTTAAATTGTAGTAACATAATAACTACCAAAGAAAAACAACTTTCAGCATTAGCAAGCATTTTCAATCTCACATCACATGATCATTGAACATTTGTCAATCTCAAATAATTGGTTCATTATAAACGTTCGTATCATCACCACATTTCTAATTATTTCATTAATCTAACCATATTCATCATACACTACTCCATTTCTTTTGAAGTCCTTTGCCGCATAGATCTGTTTAGGTGCAAGATCTAGCATACGAACTGCACGAGTCCAAAAAAGGTGAGGATATCATGTCTCTACGATGCCCCTCCAGACTTACAAACCGGTGCATTATTTGTTTATAGCTTACACTATATTTTGAGGACCAACCTCTTCAATAGCTTTAATAAGAATGTCCGCAATATGCTCCGTGTTCTTAGTATTTCTCTCCATATTTATGGCATTTAAATACATCGATCCACCTTCAATTACCACAATAACATCAATGATAAGCCCTCTTTGCGAGTCAGACCAATCATCACTTGTCAAGAAGACACCCTTCTCTTTGCATGTGTTCTTTATTGGCTCCAACAAATTTTCATCATGTGCCCTATCTCTTTGCAAAAGACTAGTTCTTAGAACATTGAAGCTGAGAAACATAACCTCCGAAAAAATTATTTGCGGCACATTCATAGGATTCGACGAAATATGAACCCATTGCTAAATTAAATGGTAAAACAAGTCATGTACAACACTCTTGCAAATATACTATGTAAATGATCTCACGCTTTATGATTAAAAAGTGTTATTAAAGGCATGCGCCTCATATGCCCTGCAATGTGAACAAGGTTATTGATAACGATAGCATCGCGTAGCGACGAGACACCACAAAGCTTATTAGGGCTATAGAAGCAAAAAACGCAAAGTCAAATATTGATCCAATTTAAATATGTATAAATATTCAAAAAAATAAGAAAATTAAACAAAACTATAAAATTTCTATAAATGCATATTTATGATTTATAGAGATCCTGAGGAAGAGGACACTATTTCGAGCTAGAAAAGGCAGCATGAGAGACAGACAGAGAGGGGGTTTTGAAATTGAAGTGGATTAGTTGGGAAGGGAGAGATAAGGGTTGAGGTTAAAGACAGCTATAGTACAGTCTGGGGTTTGAGGTGTTGTAGTTGGAGGAAAGCTAGAGGCTGAGGTAGTCGGAGAGGGATATGAGGGTCGCTAATGACAAAGTTAGGGGGGAGAGGAGAAGAGGCGCCGAGTTTGTGAAAATCGTGGATTTAGTGTTTTCACTTCTTCGTCTTTTGAGATCGAATCGAAGTGGGAGGAGATGGAGAAAGCTGAGGGGGTTTTAGTAAATTATCGATCGGATTTGAGTTGAATATTAAACTGAGAATCCATAATTGAAAATGCTATTACGCGCGATAAACATTGTTATTACGAGCAAATAGCACACAGAGCGATGTCGCCCACCGCTTTCGTCGATACTACTACAAGTGGTGGGCACTAATGCAGTTTGTAGCACTATTGGGCGCTATCTTCAACAGTGAATGTGAGGCAGTGTTAAAGCACCTCGCTTTTGAAGTGGTGGTGCCTTTTGTGCCCCGTAAGCGCCCTGCGAGAGGGAACTTCGCATTGCGTACATGTCAGACATAGCCGCCAAAATTATTGTTCATTAGGGTTTTTATATGCGATCACTCATACCCCAAAAAAACTCATTTGGTCTTTTTAGTAACCCGATTGAGGACTCTAGCTCATTCTCGTCTACTATTTTATTTTGCTTCAATATTAGTTTTTATTTAAATTTTATTTGGAAAATTATGAGCTTTGCTACTATGTTCAGTGTTAGCTTTATGAATTAGGATCTTATTTTATAATTTGGTAGTTGATATTATTTATCTTAACATATTTTTATGTGAAAAGTATATAAACGTGTTCTTTTATGCTTGATTATGAATCTTGAAAAATTATGTGCGCGGTGTGCACCTCGCTTCACTCAGACACGTGCATCATTACACCTTGCGCATGTGCTCATATAAAGACTTTGCAAGTTGCAACCCCACATTTCTCAATGTGCATTGCAGATTGATAACACTGATTAAAAGATTGTTCTATGGTAAATCCACCATCGCTTATCTTCTTTGTAATTTCGGTTGTTGTGATGGATGTTGATGTAAATAGGACAAATGGCCAATTCTCCCTAAAAGTATTGGTGACCACATAAAGTATCAATTTACCTCAAACTATAGTTATAGATCCCGTGTTAGCATACTTTTAAATTCCTTCACATAACATTCTTAACTTCACTAAAGACCAATTTGGATTGGGGTTAATGGGAGGTAGGAGACTCATTAACCTTGTTTAGAAACTCATTTGTAATAGATAATGGGAGGAAGTTAAGGTAACTAAGGTGAGAAAATCTAAGATTTTGTTCCCCCTCCAATTGAGGTGTAACCAAGGGAAAGTTAAGGTAACTATTACACAAAGACACTTTTACCCTTCTATCAAAAGAAGAGTATAACACATGTAAGCTTATTTATGTAATTTACATATATTCTATTCCCTTCACTTCACTTTATCAAACTTCGCAAACATGGTGAAAAAAGCTCCTCTCGATTCCCTTTACTAAATTCCCAAACAATGTTCGTATGTTACATTATCTTTTCTTAACTTGTACTATGTTCAACTAACTTCCCTTCACAAGGGACAAATCTAAACAGGTCCTAAGCCTAATTTTATACCATGCTTATTAGCTTGTAAAATCATTTGGTTTTATCCCAAGTTCTTCAATAATAATAAATGGCAGAAATTCTCATTATAAAGGATAAATGTATGGTTGACATCATTAATATGTTAAGTTTTCTATAGATTCACAAAATTATCATATCAGGCATATGTGCACAGTTTTCTATAGATTCACAAAATTATCATATCAGGCAACTTAAATTTAAAGGGAAAATGATCATTTTGTCCTATTATATCTCCACATCTTCTAATATAGCACTTCAATATTTACCACATGTCCCCGATATTACCCAGAGATCCACAATCTGATATGAATTCTGCTTGTCTGATATTTACTCGATATTCAACATTTAAAACCTTGCCTCTCATCAGACTCGGTACATGACACATTCCATAGCCAACAATCCTTGAAAGGCGGATGCACCTCCCAAATTACTAGAGGATGCAACATGGCATATAACCCATCCAAGAATATCAAATCTGAATCCTAGTATTCCCAATACAGCAGCATCGCCTGACTCCCACTCACCAAAAGCTTATCAATTCTGTGTCAAGCAGACATGTCATGCCGCGTCCATCCTCACTTTTTGTAAGGAAAGTGATTGGTATTCTATTAGAATACAACGTTGTGGTAGCTTGGAAGGTTCCACATAGATTGTTTCCAACCTACCGGATGACAGGATAATTATCTTTTACTACTTGAAATAAGCCAATCACGTATATGATTATCCGGGAGCATTTAATTATTGTTTAAGTTGTTGAGCAACTATTAGCTAACATGTCCTTCAAGCACACATAATCAATCACCCCTCTATAGTTAAGTCACACTGCATCACACTTAACCTGCTGTTCTCACTGCATATGAGGAATCAGGTAGATAACTCACTAAAAAGTGAACAAGTGATACTTACAGTTTCAACATCTTCAGGTTCACTAAAACTCCGGTCAATAAGTTCCCGAAGCTGAGGGAATTCTTCCATTGCAAATAATATCGGAGCTGTCACAATTCCCTGTACAAATATAATCAGTTTTACCATAAGATAACTTGTAAATTGACAAAGGCATACTATTTCTTTATTGTATATCATATTTCTGCCAACTCGCATGACACAGATATCAAAGAGAAAAGGGTACAGTATCAGATACATAATATCTGCAAGGTATGAATAGAATGTGGAGACTAGAGACACTATATATTCAATTTTCTATTCCTTCCGGAATACAAGAAGCACACCCACAACAGAACAACAACGACAACGACAAAAACAAAGCCTTTACACAAGAAGCTAACCGACACCGAGCATTATAATTGTGCAAGTATACGACGTGAAATCTGGATATCTTGCTTATGTGCCATATGTGACATATATCACGACAGAAACAGTTAAAATGTATGATACCTTCTAGTAGGAAGTGCCTGGAAATATCAGCATCCAGTGGAGCACTAAAAGAATTGTGAAGATAAATGAAATATTCTTGCATTCAATTTGAGCTAAAGGGAAATAAGAAAAAATTCACCATTTTAACCACAAATCGGAAATAAACAACGGTTGTACCCATGTCAGAATCTTAAGCCTTTGCTATATTAACTTCTCATCACGTCTAATATTCTGCACATGCTATCTAACAGTGATAATTTGAGGTAAAACAAAATGATCCTTTCCAATATGAACCATTCATTACCACGTGTGGCATGGGCACTTCTATCGTGAAGATGTGTGGTGTCACACAAACGATAGACATGTGTCCTGTGTATTTTGAGAAGTCTTGTGCCAATTTGCCGTGTCCATGTCACTACATGTGGAGCTACAACATGGATGAGACCATAATGCCATCCTTAAAAGTATGGTGGCATCATATATCTTCAGCTTTAGCCACCACTCTCTTCTCTTGCTGTTCTTTTTCAATTTTTATTCTTTTTCTCTCATTGGGTGTACTGTGAATGGATTTGTTTCTGTGTGCATGGTGTCTTTTCCTGCTATCCTACAAAGGATATACCAGTACTCAAATATTCAATTCAAAAATCTAATCAGATCATTGGTCCACAAACCCTTGCTCGTTTTAGTCAGAATGCTTCTCCACCACCACTTCTAAATAAATCACCACAATACTTCATTTTATCTATATGGTTCCTAAATATAAGCAGTTGTCCGAGACTAATATAAAAAATTATATTCACTCAATTAAAGTGGGTAGTAAATGACAATGCCAGGTCTACACATGATCAATGTGCAGCCCTACTGTCATGCATGGACAAGCCCTTCTTTTTCCTGTAATTTATTTGCAAGATACCTGTCAAGACATAGAAGGTTGACCTCCTTACAGGTGGCGACAAGATATGGATCAAACCATTCACGGATTCATCTACATATTAAAATCCATTTTGATGATAAAAAAAAGTAAAATGATCATGAAGATAACAGAGATGGAATTATAATAAGGATGAATGACACTAATGATTATGATAAGGATCAGCTGCACTACTGTTTCAGCCAATTTACTTTTACTTCCTATCATGCAAAGAATTCTATAAGATCAAGATATATGAAAGCTGTTCCCTTTAAATAATGACAAGATAATACATAGGTAAGAGAAGATTACATGGCGAATGTCGGACAATGAGCCTTTTCCAAGAGAAGCTGATGTTCCAGTGAAATCAAGAACATCATCTATCAGCTGAAATGCTAAACCCTACAATTACTCAAAAAGCAGAAAGTCAACTGATGGAAAAATAGCAAGAAAAAGTTGACAGAAAATAGGCCACTAGGAAAGATCAGATATGATACGAACCAGATTTCGACCATAGTCATAAGCAAGCATTGAAACTTCAGCAGTTTGACCTGCAAGGATAGCAATAGCCTTGCAGCTGTTGGAAATCAATGAAGCTGTCTTGTAATATGTCTTTTGTAGGTAATACTCCATGCTGTATATTACATCAAATGATTTCAGCTATGACAAAAAGGTAACTCTTGGATGAAGACAAGGCTACATGGAGATGTATCTAAGCCCCAGATTCAAATACGTTGAAAAACCAAAGCAAAGGAAAAGATGCACCTGTGGAGTGTATGCTGAAACTATGTACCTGCAACGCTTCTCAGAATTTGTTGTCATTTGCATGGTTTCACCTGTAACTAAATGTTCAACAACAGTTGCAAGCAATGACACAACCTGCAGGAGCATGGTAAAGAGTAAATTATAGTCTAAGTACCAAAATCCAGTTAAGCTAGGGAGATAACACATAATCTGACAGAAAAGGCCATTATGAATCATCTGCATTGACTGCCCATATATTAGATATTCACATAAAGCAAAGTTACAAATCAAATAGAGTGGTTATAAATTTACCTTATACAATGAAGCACCAATTGAATGTATTTGTTAGGAAATCGCCTAAAGCCGAACTCCAGACTAAAAATAGTAAAATGAATAGTAGTATTAAGCCAAAAGGGAAGCCTTTTATGGAGTCCTAGGTACACTTCAACTCGACTAACTAAATATATTCACCTAACTTAATATGAAAATAATCCCACATCTTATTTCATTCTACCAAATCCAACAACCACCCAAATCAGACTATTAGCCCACCAAGCCAATTCGATGCGAGACACTTCATAAGAGACTGTACCATGGTCATATCATGGAGATAGTGTCCCAACCCTCCTTTCGACACTGCAGTTGCTTTTTTTTTAAATCTCTACATCCTTGTGCAGTGTTTTCCCTATGGGAATATAATTATTTATTAATTTACTTATTTCTTATTCATGTAGTGTTTGCAAGTTGTGCAAAGCTGGGCCATAGTTGCTGATAGGTTTTGCATGTCCTACTTCAGCCCAAAGCTTATTAGCGGCTTTGCATGTATCAATAATGCTCCATTTTGGGTCTATTCAGGCAACCAGGTCTTTAATGTTGGAGTCATGACACATTCGGCATCCTCCATCCATATCTTAAGGCCTACAAAATATGAGATCTGATATCACTTTGAAATTCAGCTAAAAGCCCCACTTGAAAGTGTTGCGCGCAGCGGAAATTTCGGCAGCACTTCGGCAGCACAACAAGAGAGTCAGATCGCAATAAGAATTCCCGTCTCACCAAGGAGACAAGAATCTGAAGCGGATATCTCAACAAAGTGAGATATCGGCTCTTCTTCTCATCAGTTCTAGGACTGACCTGTCGAGGGATCCTAAAAGCTATTACAAATCACACAAAAGCAGTACAACCAATTTTTACGTGGTTCGACAAATTGCCTACGTCCACGGGGCAAGGAGGGGGAGAGATCTACTAATAGAGAGAGAGAATACAACTAGGGTTTACAATCACTCACAATCTAAACCCTCAAACACTCTCTCTCAAATCCCTCACAAACTCTCTCTACAAAAGGATGCACAAAAAACCAAAGAAGGGACTGCACAATTTTCGTCCGCGGCCAGCCGACAAAACAATTCAACCTCCTGCGTATGAATCCCCTCTGCTGAGCACCTTGCAGCCGCCAAGCGAATTCGCAGCCGCAAAACCAAAAATCAAATCTCCTGCACACCAACCTAGGCTAAAAATCACATTATTACTTATAGGAGCTCAACTTGGGCTTCGGGTACGCAAAACGAAATCAAACAGAGACCCGAACGAAATCAAATATGAAGTTCACGAAAACAAATGTGAAGTTCACGTGTGTGTGGCCCCCACAAAACCACCACGAACGAAACCACAATTCTCCACCTCGGTGAAGTTTTCCCAAAACTGAGCCGACACCAAAGCATCCAAATGTCCCACTTGTTGTATCCAGTACGAACTCAATCCACAACAAGTCGAGAACTCAAACGAGAGTCCAAACAATCTCACCCCCATCAACTAATCCAAAACCGGCTGCATCTGAAAGACTGCCTACGTATCCTCTTGCCCAAGGAATCAAGCCGCCCGTAGTTCATTCAAATGGCCGCCAACGGCCTCAACAATCACGAATATGCAACAGGTTTCGACAATGATCAAACTTGTTGCTCGGAACCACCTTAGTGAGCATATCCGCCGGATTATCCTTCGTGTGGACTTTCATAATTTTCACATCGCCATCTTCAAGAACATCCCGAACGAAGTGATAACGAACGTCAATGTGTTTCGTTCTCGCATGAAAAACCTGATTCTTCGCCAAATAGATAGCACTCATGCTATCACATGAATAGTGACAAACAAGGTTTTAAATATCGGATATTGGGGGAATATCGGATAGCCAAAATTCATATCAGATTGCGGATATCGGGAAAATATCGGGGATATGTGGTAAATATCGGAATGCCATAATGAATGTTTGCATACATAGTATAATGCATTAAAATGTAATCTCAACATATGTAATAAAATTTAAACATACAAAATATGAATAATATATGTTTAGGATCACTAATCAACCTTCTAAAACAAACAAAAGTGCAAAGCAACGTTGCAACATTCGATCTGTTTTTTTAGGGCAAAATATCATTTGATATAATGGAAAAATCTTGATATCTCGCCCAAAAATTCCAAACACAGCATATTATTTTGCAACAAGCTATATAAAAAGATATATTGGTCCACATATCGGCTAATATATCGGCCATATCAGGGATTTATCACTCAAAATAGCCAAAAAGCGGTAAAGGATATTTAAAGACCATATCGGTTGCGGCAAGCCCTGTAAAAGGATATATCGGGGATATATCGGGCCATATCGGGGATATTTAAAACAATGGTGACGGATCTCTGCGATATACCAAGTTCCTCCAAAAGTCCTCGAAACCAAATAGCCTCCTTCACAGCCTCCGTAACTGCCATATACTCTGCCTCCGTCGTAGACAAAGCCACCATCGACTGTAAGGAACACACCGGCGCACGGGTCAAAGTAAACACATACCCCGTCGTAGACCGGCGCTTATCCAAATCCCCAGTATAATCCGAATCAACATAGCCAACGCATAGCTGCCCACATGTAGTGTCCCGCTCATAAACTAAACCAACATTGAGCGTACCTCGAATGTACCTCAAAATCCATTTCACAGCGTCCCAATGACTCACTCCTAGATCGTGCATGTATCTCGATACCATGCTTACCGCCTGTGACAAATCTGGCCTCGTAGATACCATCGCGTACATCAAGCTCCCAACCGCACTCGCATATGGAGTCTTCGACATTAACTCTCTATTTTCAACTGACTTCGGTGAAAGACCAGCTGAAAGCTTAAAATGGGCTCCCAATGGTATACTAACTGGCTTCGTATCCATGCTAACATGGAATCGCTGTAGAACCTTCTTCAAATAAACCACCTGTGTCAAACAAATTCTGCTCTTCTTGTCTCTGTCGATCTTCATCCCTAGAATGCGCTTCGCCTCACCCAAGTCTTTCATCTCAAACTCATTTGATAGCTGAACTTTTAACTCATCTATAGCCGACCTGGAAATAGAGGCAACCAACATGTCATCGACATAGAGCAACAAATAAATGTACGCACCTCCTTTCAACTTGCGAAAATATACGCAATGATCAAACTGGCTCCGAGTGTACGAATGACCAATCATAAAACCATCGAATCGCCTATACCACTATCGAGGAGACTGCTTCAAACCGTATAGCGATTTCTTCAACCTGCAAACCAACTTATCTTTCCCTGCAGCTCGGAATCCTAATGGCTGAGTCATATATATTTCTTCATCAAGATCACCATGAAGAAATGTCGTCTTCACATCCAACTGATCTAACTCCAAAACATACTGTGTCACTAAAGCTAGCAAAATCCGAATCGAAGAATGCTTTACCACCGGAGAGAAAACCTCATTATAGTCAATACCTTCCTCCTGTGCATAGCCCTTCGCAACCAACCTAGCTTTGAACCTCAATGGAATGCCCTCAATGCCCTCCTTCTTCGTGTATACCCACTTGCAACCAATTATCTTCCGCCCCTTTGGAAGCTCAACAAGCTTCCATGTATCGTTCTTATGAAGAGATTCCATCTCCTCCTGCATAGTCACCTGCCACGAATCAGCCTCCGAACTCTGCTCGGCCTCTCTGAATGTAGTAGGTACCAACTCATCGATACTCTCCACCGGAAGTGCATACGCAACTGTGTCGGCATACTGTGCTGGCATCTGTATGTTTCTCCTCTGTCTCCGAGCCGCAATTGAATCCTAAACCTGAGCCGTCGGTTCCTGATCCTACACATTTGTACTCGTATCCTCCGTGTCACCGTCGTGCTCGCCTGGCGTCACCTCAGTCGGCACCTGCATGGATATTGTACTATCTGGACAATGTGGAGCTGCATCGATCTCCACCACCTGCGATATCTCCTCTGTCGGATCGTTCTCCACCTGATGAGAGCTGGGAAGCTTCAAGATAGAAGCATCATCGAATGTGACGTCCCTATTCAGCACAATCTTCTTATCCACTGGATTCCAAAGCTTGTATCCCTTGACACCACGCTTGAATCCTATAAATATGGTCTTCCTAGCTCGAGGTTCCAATTTATCAGTTCTAACATGATAATATGCAGGGCACGCAAATACCTTGAGCTGGTCATAGTCATGTGTTGGTTTTCCCGACCACATCTCCATAGGGGTCTTCCCCTCAATCGCAGATGAAGGCAGCCTATTAATGAGGTGGCTCGCATAAGTAAGTGCCTCAGCCCAAAAGATCTTCTCCAAACCACTCTGCGACAATAAGCATCGAATCTTCTCCAGTAAAGACCGATTCAACCTCTCTGCCACCCCATTTTGCTGCGGTGTATGACTAACCGTGAAGTGCCTCTCTATGCCCTCGTCTCGACATAGCTGCAGAAAGGGGTCAGAAGTATACTCACCACCATTGTCGGATCGCAACGTCTTGATCTTTCTCCCAGTCTGCAGTTCCAATCTCTTTTTTCACTCCACAAACAAATCTAGGACTTCACTCTTCTTCATCATGGTGTACACCCAACATCGCCTAGAATAATCATCTATAAAAGTGACGAACCAATGTCGACCACCAAGTGATGTAGTCTTGGTAGGACCCCAAACATCTGTGTGCACGTAGTCCAGGATGCCTCTCGTCTGATGAATAACAGTCCCGAACTTTACCTTCGTCTTCTTACCAAGAACACAATGCTCACAGAACTCAATCTTCCCATTCTTGGCTCCCTTCAATAGCCCATGCTTGCACAATGCCTGCAGTGACTTTTCACCTGTGTGCCCCAACCTATAGTGCCAAAGTCTGCTCATATCCGCTTCTGAAATAACCGAAGCAACCTGGCCAATCTCGGTGCTTCCCTTCAGATAATACAAATTCCGATTGCGGACTCCCTTCATCACCACCAATGATCCCTTAGTAACTTTCGCTACAGCGTTTTCAAAAGTCACCTTGAATCCCTTCACTTCCAAAGCTCCAACTGAGATAAGATTTTTCTTCAGTTGAGGAACAAATCTCACCTCCTTCAACTCACGGACTACTCCATCGTGCATCCTAATCCGCACGGTACCTATCCCACAAACATCACAGGATTGATCATTTCCCATGACCTCCATCGTGCATCCTAATCCGCACGGTACCTATCCCACAAACATCACAGGATTGATCATTTCCCATGACAACGCCCCCGTCGACTTTCTCAAAAGATGCAAACCAGTCTCGCCTAGGGGTCACATGAAAAGTAACGTCGAAATCAAGCATCCAATCTGATGCATCCACATGGTTCACCTCCGGAGTAATCAGTAGAAAAAAACACGAATCATCAGAATCATCGCCTTTCGTAATATTCACATCATTAGCCTTCGGGCCCTTTTTCTTGCCATTCTCTTTCTCCTTGAGCTTCGGGCAGTCTCTCTTCCAATGTCCCTGCTCCTTGCAGAATGCACATTGATTCTTTGCTAATTGGTGGCGGCTTCTTGACTTTGACCTTCCTCTATTACCACCTTTCGGATATGGGCTTCTACCTCTCGTCGACAAGACCTCTCCTGAAGTACTAGCGCAGGAAGTCTCCTTATCCTTCCTCCTCAAATCATAATTTGTCAAAGCGTTAGTCACTTCACTATAGCTGATAGAAGATCTCTCGTTCAACAAAGTGAACACGAAGGTATCATACTCCTCATCGGGTAAGGAGCCCAATAAAATAATCGCCTTGTACTCATCCGATATCTTCTCATCAACATTCGCCAAGTCCGACAACAACTTAGTGTAGTTGTTCACATGAGCCGCTAGCGAGGTGTCTCTGGACATCTGAAATCTGAAGAGTCTTCGCAGCAAGTGCAACCTGTTCTCAACACTCTTTGTGAGATACTTGTTGCTGAGAATTTCCCACATCTTCATTGCAGACGTCACCCCAATCACATCATATTTCAGTTTCTGTTCCAAACAGGACTTGATCACCCCACACGCGTTCCTATTCATCTTCTCCCATACCGCCTCTTCATATTTAGGTGGTCTCTCGTGGACCATGATGATCTCTTCCAAATTCTAAGCATTGAGCGCATCATGTACGTCGCTCATCCACAAACCAAAGTTGATTTTTTCGTCATACTTCACCACACTAATCTTAGTGTTCTGAAAACCAACTTGTATTGTACTCGCCATTGACTTGCTGCTTTCACCTTCTTCTCCCATTGCGAACTAACTCCAAATTGTAGAGAAAGAACAAATTTGATAGAAATTAGAAACCACCCAACTGAACCCTAGATTGGATTCCAAATAGATTTCCTAACCACACGAGGAAAGCGAAATCTCCAACGACAACTCCTAATGCTATCTCTACCGAAGCCTAGAACTCCAAGAACCAAGCTTCAAACAAAATCTTCCTCCACCAAACTCCAAAACATCCTAGATCTGAAATCAGGGCTCTGATACCACTTGTTGCGCGCAACGGAAATTTCGGCAGCACTTCAACAGCACAACAAGAGAGTCAGATCGCAATAAGAATTCTCGTCTCACCAAGGAGACAAGAATCTGAAGCGGATATCTCAACAAAGTGAGATATCGGCTCTTCCTCTCATCAGTTCTAGGACCGACCTGTCGAGGAATCCTAAAAGCTATTACAAATCACACAAAAACAGTACAACCAATTTTTACGTGGTTCGGCAAATTGCCTACGTCCACGGGGCAAGGAGGGGGAGAGATCTACTAATAGAGGGAGAGAATACAACTAGGGTTTACAATCACTCATAATCTAAACCCTCAAACACTCTCTCTCTCAAATCCCTCACAAACTCTCTCTACAAAAGGATGCACAAAAAACCAAAGAAGGGACTGCACAATTTTCTTCCGCGGCCAGCCGACAAAACAATTCAACCTCCTGCGCACGAATCCCCTCTGCTGAGCACCTTGCAGCCGCCAAGCGAATTCGCAGCCGCAAAACCAAAAATCAAATCTCCTACACACCAACCTAGGCTAAAAATCACATTGTTATTTATAGGAGCTCAACTTGGGCTTCGGGTACGCGAAACGAAATCAAACAGAGACCCGAACGAAATCAAATGTGAAGTTCACGAAAACAAATGTGAAGCTCACGTGGGTGTGGCCCCCACAAAACCACCACGAACGAAACCACAATTTGGTATCAGCGCAACAAGAGAGTCAGATCACAATAAGAATTCTCATCTCACCAAGGATACAAGAATCTGAAGCGGATATCTCAACAAAGTGAGATATCGGCTCTTCCTCTCATCAGTTTTAGGACTGACCTGTCGAGGAATCCTAAAAGCTATTACAAATCACACAAAAGCAGTACAACCAATTTTTACGTGGTTCGGCAAATTGCCTATGTCCACGGGGTAAGGAAGGGGAGAGATCTACTAATAGAGGGAGAGAATACAACTAGGGTTTACAATCACTCACATTCTAAACCCTCAAACACTCTCTCAAATCCCTCACAAACTCTCTCTACAAAAGGATGCACAAAAAACCAAAGAAGGGACTGCACAATTTTCTTCCGCGGCCAGCCGACAAAACAATTCAACCTCCTGCGCACGAATCCCCTCTGCTGAGCACCTTGCAGCCGCCAAGCGAATTCGCAGCTGCAAAACCAAAAATCAAATCTCCTGCACACCAACCTAGGCTAAAAATCACATTGTTATTTATAGGAGCTCAACTTGGGCTTCGGGTACGCGAAACGAAATCAAACAGAGACCCGAACGAAATCAAACGTGAAGTTCACGTGGGTGTGGCCCCCACAAAACCACCACGAACGAAACCACAGAAAGATTTAAGCAAAACAAAGTTGCTAATAGGTCTTAGACCCCAACGTGTATTAACCTTGAGCAGCTAAGCAATTTAAGCTTGATTCCATCCGTAAGAAGTGGCATGTCCCATTATGTAGTATAGTAAATCTCACAGAAGTGGTTCTCAAGTGTGTCAGTATTGTTCTTAGTGATTTACAATTTCACATGGATAGCTGAATCAGGTGGAGAACCAGAGGATATGCTTAGGAAACACATACTATTTATTGCTGTAGGAAAAAAATTGTTCATGCCACGCCTGAGATAAATACATCTTTTCCAACAAATAGTAAACACAATGGATATAGTTTCGAACACAGGTAACCTTTATACTGAGCATGAAACTATAAACTTTCGATAATCACTGCCCACTAGAAATGCAAGACTGAAATGCAAGACTGTGTAAGACATCAATGATCAATAATCACTATCTAGACAACCAAGATCAATAAACTGACGGCTGATAAGGAAAAGTCATGAAGCCTGCAATAGGCTTCTTATACATTTATTTTCCTCAACAACAATAACTAAAGTACAAGTGTCCTACAATAGTAGGACATACTGAGTTGACCATTGTTTTATTTCCTACCTCATAAATGTAACAGATCTTTACACAAAAATGATTAGCATATTATGCATTAACATTTCAAGACAGTCTTTGACATAAGGGATTTCATCTGTTCATGCATTCCAAGAACTAAAGCAGGTTCTGGTGCTAGGAATAAAGTACCTTCCAAACGGATATGTGAGCTTAATACCAGATATCCCTATGTGATTGCATTTATTTCAATCTGGATTTAGATATAAATAACGAAGTATTCAGTGATATTCGTACATTACTTCAACATCAGTTAAGCACTATGCACATTAAGCTTAGATCTATGTCTATGGCTAATTATTCATAATGTCACATGAGAGCTAAGTTTCCAAAATAATAAATGTACAAAAAGAAGGTGAAAGTTGTGTATGATGAAATTGCAACAATAAGTAATCACATACCTCTGTATTTTTCAGTGAAGCAAGAGCGACACAAGCTCTGGAAAGTAGGAAATCTCCTGCCAGCACAGCAAGCTACATAAACAAATACGTCAATGTGTGTATAAATAATAAATGACCAAAAGAAATTGATGTAGACACACTGAGCAATGGATGGTATAATGACAACATTTATGAGGCTTCACCAGTCGGTATTGTAAATTGGTAGTTGACAATCTATACATTCCGTTCACAGCAACAATTATCCACTTACGCATGAATAGAAAAGCTTGTTTATTACCAAAGAAATGATCAAAAGTTCTGATATACCCTTGATCATAGTTAAAATGTTAGGGTGTGTTTGGTAATCTTTCAAAATTGGGCCAGGTTTAAACCTGGCCCAGTTTTGAAAGATTTTTTGTTTGGCAAACAAAAGGGCCAGATCTAGCCATGTTTTCATAGGCCAAAATATGGTCTTCAACCAGTTTTCTTTCGGACCGCCGGGAGAGCTGGTCCAGAGGAAAACTGGTTTAGCACAAAACAGGGCCAGGACTAGCCCTAGCCCAGTTTTGTGTAGCTTGCCAAAAACCCTTAGCTATTTACCTAACAAGAAGTCCATTATGCTCTCCGAAATTCTAGTTAGAAGAAAATATATTGGAAATAACTTGTGAAAATAATCAGATGATATACAAAACTGACTAAAACTTGATCAAGTTGGACAATATAGACTTTGATATGGACAAGAATAAGCATTTAACTTGAGTACTAACAGATCTTTACAACTTCGTCAACTCTTACTACAATTCAATCTCTCTTCATCGATCTTTAATTTGAACTGAGTCTACAGCAAGTGTATTATTGTCAGAGACAAATTAACTTCTTTCTTGTTTAACTTACATATACAGACATCCTTAAAGTAACTATATAATGCTAAAAGTTGATACTAACTTTAGTAAACAAGACTGACATATTATCTCATGCTTCAAATTAGTGAATTCCACCAGGATGAGTATTTTCAGGAAGTTACATAGACTAGATAGTGCATGGCAAATGTTTTACTTGTTTCCTTCTATACATTAAAATATATTAGAAGTGCTTAAGATAAATTCATGTCAATAAGGCCAAGTCAGGATGTGAAGACCAGGCTTTACCTTGTTTCCCATTACAAAATTCAATGAACTGATCCCCCGCCTCGTTTCTGCATCATCTAATACATCGTCATGCAGAAGGCTTGCCACCTGATATGGCAAAAGGAAACAGACCATTAATTAGACAAAAGGACAGGGTTAAAGTAAGAACTATCCCGCTGGAGAAGCACATCTATATAACTGAATATCATAAACACTGAATCCCCAAAATCCAACATTAAAACAAGAAAAGAGACCACAAGAATAAATACTTAATAAGGGAAAGCTCACATGGATCATTTCGGTTATTTCAGCAATTGACTGCTGCCTTCCACGCACTTCCTTTGGTAGCATATGAAGGTCGCCATCAATGACTGTTTTAGGAATGGGCACATCCAATGCAGATGCCATTAATAACAAAACCTGCACAAATTGATATCTTCAAGTTTCATATAGAACAAAATTTATGCAACAGTCATGGAAATAGTCACGGAACACATCTTCTATACAGAACAACCACCAACAAATATTTCACTGAGCTATTACAAAATATCACAAATGCCATATACTATATGATAGGAAAGGCTGGCATACATCTTAGACCATATATCTCCAGACGAACAGACATAACATTCAACCAGATGGGAGAGTGTAAAGCACGAACTATCATAAGAAATGCATAATCAATAAAACTTTTTGTATACATTATAAAGTAGAAGTTGTTGAAAATGAAGCTCTTACTGTGGGACGGAATCTTTTTCCTTCGACACCCATTTTAAAGAAGTATTCTGCAGCTGAGGCCAGCTTCGGTACCTACAGGAAACATGTAACGTAGTTAGAGTCCAAAGAAATAAGCAAAGAACAATTCTCAGATACTATAGTTTAGCAAACAACACATTCCTACTGAGTATCTTATACATTCCCACTTAGTATCTTATTCATAGATGAAGAAAATCAACGGAAATTTCAAAAGGCTACAATATAAGAAGACCACACACCTCTGCAACCACCATCGAGCGCAATCTGTCTGCAAGGGTTGACAGTTCATCCGCAACAAGGGAGAAGGGATCCACTGTTTCCTGCTAAAAGAAGACCTTATGGTGTCAGAATCATTTCACTTCTTTTTAAGAGATTTTTGATACAGATTAGAACTCTTATGAAATTTTTGGATTCCCCAAAAAGCATGTTGCATGGATACGGGTGAGGGTACAGACACGGAAACGGGTGCCGATACGGGACATGGCAAAATATTGAAAGTTAGGATACAGGGACACAACTATATACATACATATTAAATTAATCATTTATATGAGATCGATATTATTTTTCATTCACATGTTATGAGAACTAAAACCTTATATCATTGTTATGTTTTCTTTTATCAAGTAGATTATTAATTGAAAAACCACTCATATTTGAACTAGATACCAAAACTATCCTTTAAAATCATACTTATGAACTAGAGATGTGCTAAAAGTATGTCCCGAGTCCAATGAATTGCATAAATTTGAGGTGAAGTGTACGATATACATTCAAGACGTGCATCATGAGTTTTTTGAACTGAAACATGCCTTACGTAATTGAGTACACATCTGAATGAATGTATGCATATATCGAAGAAGTGTTCAAGGAGTGTCAAACACAAACACGGATACGGGAGCCTACATGAAGTGTCCGGGTAACCTAGCGCAAAAACCATCCGTTTTGTTGGGTTATTGCACGTGACTATTATAGATGCTTATAAATTAATAAATTGTCAATTGTTAGTTTGCTATATCTACAAACATTCTTTTTAAATTGGTCATCGCTGAAGTTTCATCACCAGTTATATCTCATAGGCACTCATAAAAAGCGTAACAAGATTGCCAAGTCGGTAAGGTTCACACTCAAAGTTCAAAGCTGCATTTCTCAAATCTTTTCATTAACTATCAAATTAACCAAGAAAATGAAGAGTACTTGATTCAAATTTGATATTTTTAGAGGATCCTAATCAAGTTTAGACCAAAAACATCAATTTTCTCCTACCCAAATTCTTTCCTATGAGAAGTTCTTGACCAAAAGAATGTGTTATCTGGAGCTCGCAAAACACCTGGTGCTAATCCCTAGAATCATCTCCCATTGCAAACTTTGAAACTAGCAGGAAATAGATTATTACTCAACCTCCTTTCCTCAATAGATGCTCTTTTCCTTTTCACCTCAGGCGACTCAGGACCCAATTGCATATGACATAAGCAATGCCACAAGTTACAACCAAGGGTTTCTTTGGTGGTAGTGATGATGGATGGGGAGTGGGTGGGTGTTCTTTTTTCCCCCATTTTTTAGGGTGGGTGGGTGAGTGGGTGTGTACATGAAACAGAGCACAAACACAGAAGATCAAGGGAAGCAGTAGCAAATTAGCCATATACCAAAAGCGAACTGGCTAAGCTAAGCATCATGTGGGAGATCAGCCACATCAAGGATTAAAGGACAGTCTACAGCTATGTGCAGAAGTGAAATTGTATCTGGTTATCAAACATAGAAGAAAATTAACAGGGATATATATATATATATACATATGTATATATACACACACACACACACACACACACACACACACACACACACACACACACACCCCTAATATGTTAATCTTTCCTCTGCCTTTGGATACTAAAGCACACTTCCTTGAGTTTCTTATATAGGTTTGATTTTCTTTAAACATTGCACCATCATCTAGGTTATCACAAATTTTCTTTTATTTGCAAGTTCCATGAACATCTAGTGCATGTTAATTATTTCCTTGCATTAATGTCACACACTTCTATCCACTTACCTTGCAACCCATACGCATCCTTTAGAAAGAATAGGGGTGACTCGATCTACACTGTAGATTTATGGGTCATCCAGCTGTAAGTGTAGATCCTCTTAATTTCATGCATTCTAAGATATTTGGATATGCTGCTACACATGTTTTCTAATTCCGTTTTTATCTCTCCACCTTTTGCAAGGAACATGATTAGGGAACCCTAATGTGTGCAGGGACTCCACCTTTATGCTATTTTTTAAATTTTATGACTGTACATTACTCTAAATAATTGCTAGCCGATATTACTTCATTCACAGCACTGCCTGCCTCCCACTGTAAATTTCTCTACACTTTATGATTCCTACATCGTCCTACACTCAGTCAAAATCAAAATTGTCAAAATTTATAACACAGTAATTAAAGAGAAAAGAAAGAGCAATATTGTCTAACTGAAAGTAACTTGATCTATTATTCCTTTTTTTTTTGTCTTTCTTGCGCTATAGATTTAAAGCTCGGAGTTTGAACTTCTATTAGTCAGATTAGAAAGAGAATAACATTAAGAAAGTCAAAAGAAATTACTTCGGCTCCAGAGTTTTCATCCTCGTTAACCCGACACCTGAGGTCATGCAAGCCATGTGAACCACAACGGAGACTCTCTCTGCAACCCGACACCTACTAATCCACAAAAACATAGTGCAAACATCAAAGAAACATCATGAGTACTTCAATAAATTACTATTTTCTATGTGAAGGGTTTCGTATACATGACGCTAAGACTATAAACCAATGAATTCAACAAGAAGATTCTTCTTTGATACTAACACTCAAAAAGACGGATCGGCCAAAATCAGGCACAAGACGAGCCCAAACAATGAGGCGGAGGCAATGCTAAAAGACAGTGAGAAATTGTTGCAAATAGACATCAAAGACAAAGATTGAAAAAAGAAAGAAAGAAAAGGAACTCTTCAAATAGAATAAAATTTACGCACATCAAATTTACTTACAGGTTTATCTAATTCTTGGAACCATGACCTTGGAGCGTAATTAAGATGAAAAATAATGCATCAATTAGAAGAAAATTACAACACAATAACCATAAATTTGTACCTCTAAGCATAAAAGAGACGGATTTGACCTAATTAGGGTTCCGTAACGAGCAGCCAAGAACAAATTCTCAGCGCTGCCGACATAAAAGAAGCTCCTTCTTGATCTCAAACATCTCAAAGCCCATCGCAAATACATATGATCCTGATTTCCTAACCCTAAGTAATCGACCTCCAATTTAAAAACTTAAAATAATGGAAACAAAATCAAGTAAATACACAAAAACATCTCCAAAGAGTACTAAGTTATACCTAATTTTAGTTGAGTGCAGAAGTGAGACGCACAAAAAAGAAGCGGAGGCAGGAGCAGTCACGACTCGCTAGTGTGAACCGCAAGAAATGTCGGTTTTTCTTCTCTTTTTTTTTCCCCATTTTTGCCCCTGCTTTGAGACGACGTAAAGTTATTTGGGGCCGTTGACAATTAATCTGAAGGTTTTAGTTGGGTTGTTTAATGATGGGGAACTGGATCTCCGGTCCGATTCGGCACACCCTTTTTTGACTTGAACAAATCGGCACCGATTAATTAACACGTTGGAAAGCGACAGACAGACCCAAACGGGTATGAACCCGACCCGTAACAAAATTTACACGGTGGTCGGCTCGAACTAATGTCTGGTTACATCATCATTCACCATTTCGCCGAGGATGTGGCCGCACATAAAGCGGTGGAAGTTGATTGAATGATCACTTTTCTACGAACTTTTTCAGAACTTATCACATCATCACTTTTCTTCTCAAATGAAAATGTCACGTGTTCTAAGTCCTCACCGTCCATCTTTCTAGCATAAGATAATTTAAATCTATAAAAAATCTAAACCATCCGTTTTAAACAACTCATCTAATCTCTCTCATATTACAAATCTCTAATATAATCTATCAATTACCAATCTGAATCTAATCTCAACCGATTTCTCTCTTCTCTCCTATCATCCTCATCCATCATGTAATCCCCAAAATCTCTTTGAAATTCCCATAATTTCCATCTTGATGACAAACTGATCAAAAAATCCCCGTGGCAAAAATAAAAATATTATTGAAATTAATTCCGAAAAAATCCCCATCGGCTTTTCACCATCATATTCTTCCATCACCCCTCAATCGCGGTGAGTTTCTTGGCAACCTCCCCCCCTTTTAATTTCCACTGATTTTCTTAAAATATTTCATGTTGTATACTTTTTTGTTGTATACTTTTTTC